ATCTTAAATTTATACCATAACCCTCAATGAGCTCTTCTGTGGTATTTGTTTTGTTTTAGTTCTTTGTTTCAATAGAGCCTTATTTTTAGCTGTTCTCTAACTCCCTATGCAGCCCCAGGCTAGGAGTAAACTCTCCTAACACCTCCGTGCACTCCCCAAGTGCTACTGATCCATTCATTCCAATATTCTACCCAAAACTGTATCTGACCTCTCTTCAAATCCACCACCTTCCTTATTAGTCTCAGCCAATTGCTTTTGTGTATATTTAACTCAGAAAAGGAGAAAGGAGGGAGAGAGGAAGAAAGGAAGGAAGGAAGGAAGGAAGGAAGGAAGGAAGGAAGGAAGTTACTTTGCTGTTGAAGTGACAAACACCTTAAAGGAGAAAGGTTCAGTGTGGCTTACAGTTTCAGTGGGACAACACGGGTGGTGGCTGAGGACACTGCAGCAGAAAGGAAAGGCATGCTGGTAGGAGCAGGATATGCACGGTGCATCCATATTCAGGAAGTGAATGTGGACAGGACCTGGGGTTGGGCTACAATGCCTCAAGGCCCCACCCTGGCGTCTGTCCTCCAGTGAGCTCTGTCACCTAAGGTGCCTCCCCGACCCCCACCCCTCCACACTCCACAAACAGCACCACTAACTGGGGACCAAGTACTCACACAAACCAGAGGGGGGAATTTCACATTCAAAGCACAACAAGGAGGGATGGGGGGAGGGAGGAAAAGAAATGATTCTCTGGACCCCACTTCTCACGGCTGCCATTTATCCACTTCTCTTCTCTCCTTCACAACCCAACTCTAAAGAGCCATCTGTCCACTGACTGCAGTGCCTTTCTTTCTCAACACTCTGTAGCCACATGCCTCATGGTCCCCAGAGTTGTTCCATCAGGTGGCTCATGACCCCCAAGTCACTAACTTCCGTAATGAAATCTCAATCCTCTTATTTGGGGATATGAGACGGCGGGGGGGGGGGGAGAGCTGTGACAAACGCTCCTTCCAGGCAGACAGCATGCCCATCTCTGCTAACTGAGCTCCCTTTTCTGCTCTAGTGGAAGCTTTCAGTAAATATTCCCTCCCCGTAACTAGGTCCCCGAGGGAAGGATGTGGGAGTGATTTGAAGTCCACACTCTTTTGAAATTTAATTTCTAAGATTTCCATTGAGGGATGAGTGTCAATTATCCTGAAAGGAGTGGGTGTCTCCCCAGCATCGCCCTGAGAAGGCCACTTCACTTTTGCCCATCTGGTAATGAGCCTCTCTTGTTCTCCCTCCTGATTTTTATCTGTCAATCACTTTGACAAAACTGACAAGTTGGAACTCTTCAACAAAATCAAGAAAACTAATAACTTGCTAAACTGTTTTATGAAAACAATAACCTCAGCACCCAAAGTTCACTGTGTCAATACGCTTTGCTGAGTGGTTTCCCTTTGCTGTCTGTGTTGGGACCAAAAGTTCATCTATCGATTTAGCCCAGTATCACTAAAAAAAAAAAATCCCAACATAGTTTCCTAAACATATGAATAAGTTTACTATTAAGTTTACATAAAAGAGGAAAGAATTTTTTCAAACACCAAAGCAGCATTTAAAGCGTGACAAAGCTGAGGAGTATGGGGTGCCAAGTCTTGGCATTTAATGTAAAGTTACAGAAATAAAGACAGAGCATCCATGAAAAGACAGACCATGTAAAATGGTCTGCTTACTCCAGAAGTAAATTACTAAATCCAACATGCACTGTACCATATCTTCAGCCTCCCAGTCTTAGTTTTCACTCATTAGAGTAAAAACTTGAGGTCACACAAAAACTTGCACACTGACATTTATGGCAGCTTTGTTCTTATTTGCCAAAGGCTACGAACAACCAATGGCTTCAGTGAGTGAGTGCATAGGCAAACTGCGGTCCTGTCAGAAAGAGGCTTCAAAACAGACAGAAGTGAATTGTTAATGCACGTGACAACCTAGATAGCCTGCAAAGAGATTATGCTGAGGGAAGCAGTCTGATCTCGAAGGGTTTCCATTTATATGCTGTTCTACAAAACTCTAGGGCCTCCTTCTTGTCTGGCGCAGACACAGTTCATGGTCCAAAGAACACAGCCACATAAAGCCATCCACAGCATGAGGGAGGGGTGGCTCACCAGCATCCACCAGTCACCACAAGGTATAAACACCTTCCTCATCACTTTTTAAAGAGCAGAATCAAGTGTTCCCTAACAGGAGATGAAGAAAACAGGTCCAGGCCCACGTGGCAGCTCACTAAGATTACAGCAAGGTCCACATTTGGATAGCCCACCTTCTGGTTTTATGGATGTCAGAGGCTTTGACAAGACTTTAAAGAACTTCATCTGCCCTGTGGCACCAAGGGACACTGTCTTTGTTTCTTATCCTATTGCAGTGATAAAGTAACATGACAAAAGAAACTTAATAGAGAAAGGGTTGTTTGCTTTTTATTTAAATTTTTCATTTACATACCAACCCCAATTTCCCCTTCCCCTTCTCCTGTCTCCCCACTCCTCATCCCACCCCCATCCACTCCTCAGAGGGTTTGTTACAGCTCACAGGTCATCATGGTAGAGATGTCAAAGTACTGAGAGCCATGACACTAGATTAAAGAGATGGCCTAGGACTGGACACTTCTTTGGGACATTCTAAAATAAAATATAATGAAAATAAATCAACGACAAATGCAAAAAGTAGTTATTTGGTCATAAACAGTACAGGGTGGTTAGGCAGGCTAGACACCAAGTGAAATGTGTGTGGAGGGGATGGAAGAGGCTGTCACCCCAGGTCAGGGAGAGGAGGACTGAGAGCCACTACTGACCAGAGGAGCCACAGTCAGGCCCGTGCTGTGAAGGTGTTATTAAATGGGACAATAAGACATGCAAGAGGACAACTAGAGACAATGGATGTGGACAACTCTGTTCAGGGTTTTGCTGTCACATAATACAGGAAATTGGAACAGTAATGGGAGTCAGGAGAGATTTGTTTTCAAGACAAAAATAGAGGCATGTGTGTATGCTGAGCCCGTAGGAGGCGGGGAAGCTGGCAACACAAGGGAGGAAGACTGCAGGCATGTCCTTGAGCAGCTAGCATGAGTGGAGGAGCTTGACCAGGAAGGAGCAGAGGCGACTGGTCCAGGGTAAGAAAGAAACAGGCTTTCTTCGTGAAAAGGCGCCTGGGACAGTCTCTGTGCTGTTGTGACCCTGGAGAGCCTTTCTTCCAACAGCAAGCGAGGTCCTCTGGGACCTGAGGGGGAGAAGAAGGCATGACTTCACAGAGCAGACCCTGCAGCTCCCTGAGGCTCAGGGTCTCAGCTGGAGATGGTGACAGTCCCCCCATCACAGGTTTCTGTGAGGACTCAGATGATTCCCAGTGCTGCCCATTGGCACTGGGAAACCTCAGCATCCAGAAGCGTGACCTTCGGATGACTCGGACTCTGTGCAGGGTTCACTTGGCATTCGTTGCTCTCCTATGGAACTGAGGGTGGGTCCCCAGCTTCATTTACCTTCCAGTATTCAGAAGCAATAGTTACACTTCTCACTGGTAACTTCACTACCTGGGATGCAGTAGATCCTTGAGGATGGATGGATGGATGGATGGATGGATGGATGGATGGATGGATGGATGGATGGACGGATGGACGGATGGGTGGTGAGTGGGTGAATTCTAGGGACAGAGGAAGACTAAATGCAGCTTCTGTGTCACCACTTGGCCTAGTCCTAGTTGCCCAAGTCCACAGCATTCTCCATGGACCCTGCATGCCAATCTGCCCAAGCTTGGCAGCAGTCATGTCAGGAGCAGTCAAGTCTCCACCGAGTTTCTGAAACTCCCTTTTGCTATCTGAATTATGGATTAAAAATGGAGCATGGCCATTCTTGTCTGAGAATAGTTTCTTGGTCCTTTGCCTTTCCCCAGCAAACAAGCACTCAGTGGCCTCTTTGTCTAATGTAAAGCAACATTCTGATGCAGTCCCCAAGCAGGAGCTGGAATCACCAACTTAGGACAGTGCCTGCACTGCTGCTCGGCCAGGCCACTGCCTGTTTGCTGAGGAATCCAGGCTTCTGGAGGGCAAAGCCGTCCTATTTGCCAGCTGCAGGTTGTGGGTCTGTGGGCTGTTGATAGTGATTAACAGACATGTGTGTGATTTCAACTAAGAACCCAAAAGGGAAACTCAGGGTGGGTGGGCATCTGTGGGGGAAGGCGGTGTGCAAGTGACATGGAAAGCCCTTCTTCCCCACATTTGCAGCGAGTCTGGAACTTGAACTCTTAGTAAGAGAGACAAGTTGGGGTATCACCAGGACAGAAAGTAAACTCCCGAAGATACTCAGAAAGATATTCCAGGAGAGATCCAGGAGCAATTCATTGAGAAAGGAGAGATGCTGGTGAAAGGGTCAAGGCAGGCAGGGAGCATAGGAGCCATTTGTTAGACAAACGTGTGTGGGGGAAAAGCACCGTGTTAGGTGTGAATTACAGTTCATTTTCTAATTGATGAGTCAGTTTTCCAGAACATGAAAAAGCACACCTGTATACATTCTGTTTTCCTCCCAGTTCAGCCTCCCAGCTGTAGCTTCCAGTAAAGCTTTGTGCAAGGGCCACAGTGCAGACAGGAGAAACATTTCCCTGCAGTCTTAGGACTCAGCTTTGGGCACAAGGACCTGCTACCTTGAAAGAGCCTGGGGGTGGGGACGGGAACACGGCAGATATACATGTCACTTAGGGGCAAACTTAGAAGACAGACTCTTGGGCCCAAGTCCTGGGTATTCTAGCTCAGGACTCTGTTACTTCAGCATGTACCCGAGGTAACTGATGCAAATGGCCTGTAGCTCACTAACTCAGCAAATGCCAGCTTAGAGGACACAGGCCCAGTTGAGCGCCTTGCATTTGGGATCCAGCACAGGCTTCTGGCTCTAAGGTCCTCCCCAGGTTCACTGTTGGGGGCCAACGCTGAGCCTCCTTGCTATCCTGTGGGGCTCAGTGTGACGCACCCTGATTTCTCTTTATTCTGTTAGAACGATTACAGGAAGTTATCTATGCAATGCAAGGATTTTGTGGTGGGCGTGCTGGACCTGTGCCGAGACACAGAAGAGGTGGAAGCCATTTTAAATGGGGATGTGAACTTCCAAGTCTGGTCCGACCACCACCGTCCAAGTCTGAGCCGGATCAAACTCGCCATTAAATACGAAGTCAAGAAGGTAAGCTTCCTCACCTTCCCTGGCCTTCTTGCCTGGCTTTGCAGGGCCACTGGCCTGGCTTCATGCTCATGTATACTCATTTTCCCACAAAGTGACTGTGATGACACCCAGATTCTGCCGACACAGGGAACAGCCAATTTTTCGGAACTACTCAGATCTCACCACCCCTTCCTACCTGGGCTCCCATCCGGCTGATAGAGACAGAGAGGAATCACAACCAGCCCATGAGCAGGCCTTGAGCCTGGAGGACAGAGTCATGGTCTCCAAACAGAACACACTCACAGGACAGCTCCCGCAGGCTGGCAAGGCAATCCTAGGCCTTGCTGAGAAGCATGTCCCCAGCTTTGTCTCTGCGTCTAGGAATAGCTGTAGAGAGGCAGCTTGGAGAAAAGGGCAGGGGGAGCCATGGGCCTCTGGGGCTTAGAGGCAGCTCACTCCAGAGTCTCAGGCTCTTCATAGAAAGCTAGAGTAGACGCCAGAGGGAAACTCATCCACTGCTCAATACACACCAAGGTGTCTTCAGTGTCCAGGTTGCTCAGTATCCCACATGTCCCCAGTCAGAGGTGCAATGAAAGACACTGTCTCAAAATAAGGAATTGTTTTAACTAAATGCTATTTAAATGCCCCAATTTGGGTTCTGGGCATTTGTCCTCTACCTTAATTATTCAAATGGGGGCAGGCAGGGGGCATAAACCAGCCACCAACAGGGGGCATAAACCTGTAAGACTCATGTAGGGAGGGCTTCCGTATTTCATAAGGTTTTCTGCTCTTTTGCTTCAATAATAATCATATAAATTCTGAAGAAAATGTATTTCCCCAAGGCTCTGAGTCCCAAAATCAAAGTTTTGCCAAGAGCTGGGGGAAGTCAGACTTAGAGTTCAAATCTATTTTCTTAGCTTATGAATGCATTTTTAACCTAACCCTAGAGCTTCCCGGGGTTTTTGTTTGTTTGTTTGTTTGTTTTTGTTTTGCTTTGTGTTTAACCAGCACACCAAGTCTCATTCTGGAACTGCTGAGACTTCCCTCACCCTTGGGTTCAAACAAGCCCTGCTGTGGGGGCTGTGTGACATTGGTGAAGATGAGCTTGGGGTTCCTCCAAGCCTCCACACACCTGTCTTCACCAGCCACAGTGACCTCCTGCCCTCCACAGGGTACGATGATGGGGGTTTGAAACAGCCAGGGAACCGGAGACACTGGGGCCCTGCAGTTTATAGTCACAGTATTTGACTATTACAAGCAATCACAACAGTGCATGCCTTGTAGACATCATTATTTCTCCCCTGGAATATAAATTCAGATCCTCTAGCAAAACTGTCATTGAGAGTAGAGTCACCCAGTAAGCTGGCATATCTGGCCACTTCCTCACAGCTACATCCCTCTCTGTCATTGCCAGCTAATGGTACAAATGATCTGATAATGGATGAGATAGAAAACCAAGCCCTCCATGGTCATGGTGGCCAGGGTCAGAATAAAAAGGTTTCATGAGGGAAATTATTTGCCCTAATGGAATTTTCCAATTAAGGGACTTATAAAGGCTTTTGGAAATATCCACCATGAATGTCAAGTATCTGCTCCCTCTGTAGGTGGGAAGATGATAAAGGCCCTGTGTGGAACACCAACCTTGCTGATTTCAAAGACCTTCAGGCCATGCATGCCATCATGCAAACGCAGACAGCCCTGCAGCTTTTCTTGACATTTGTTCTATTGTGAATTACTAATGAAAATGCCTAATATTAGAAAGGCTTATGAATCATCTGATGGACTTCCAGCTTTAAATTAGGAAATGGAACATACTTTCATAACTACAGTCCTATCCTGGACATTTGAGTTACAAATGACAAATATCAAGGCCAGTGCACAAGTATGTTGCCTTTTGTACCTGAGATGGATGGATGGGCGAATAGATGACAGACAGACAGACAGACAGACAGACAGACAGACAGACAGACAGACAATAATGCCTAAGGTCCTGCCCATGTGCTAAGATCAGTCCTTTAGTTCAGAGATCAAGTCAGACTACTTATTCTTGGCATTTTCACAGGCATCTAATCAGGTGTGGTCATTAAAAAAGAGAGACAGAAAAAAGATTTCCTGTTCAAATGCATTTAGAAACCTTGAGTTAAGCACCATCAGACAGATGTCTTTGCTTCAAGACACCATGGGGCCGTTAATATGTGTCACTACTCTCACGGAAAATACAGCACACCGCCTTACACAACCCCAGAGCTCTGTCTCATAGTGGAACATTGTCTGTGCGTCATTCTGAGTGAGGGGAACACAAGCTTAGCCTCTCTGTCTAGGAAGTGCTTGCAGGTGAGTGGCGTGGAACCACCGTCACACACACGGGTGGCACATCTCATCTGAACAGTTGCCTCTTTGCAGGGCTTAACCCTAATGTCCAGCCCAGTGTCCACTGCCAGTAGATGAAGACAAGGGAGCCCCTGGTGAAGAGGACAACCCTAAGCTAGTGTCAGGAGACACAGTCCAAGCCTGACTCATATACTGTAGCCTTGTGGTCTCAGCCAAGGCACTGAAGCAACGCCAAGTTACATCTGCAAAAGTGGACGCCTGGGCTTTTTATTCATAGAGTTTTTGCAAATTTAATCTGAAAATGATGCAATACCCTATAGGTCAAAGGGGGAGCACCACTACTGCTATTCAGTTATGACTATCTTTGAAGACTTTAGATGTCCTACTGTCCCCTGAGACATTCTCTATGTCCTGTGTTATCTCCCCCAAGAACGCTAAAAATGGTCCCATGGCAGGGACATCATCTAGCATAAAATTCCTCTTGGCATGGCCAAATGTCTTGTGGAACTGCAACTATCCCCCATGACTTCTGCTTAGGAGGGTAACTCAAGCCAGGAATGATGGCCAACACCTTTAATCCTAGAACTTGGGAGGCAGAAACAGGTGAATCTCTGAGAGTTTGAAGCCAGCCTAGTCTAAAGAGTGAGCTCCAGGACAGCTACATGATGAGACCCTGTCTCATAAACAAAACAGGGTGACTCAACCTCCAGAATGCAACCCTTGAGAGACTGTGTTGGAGATGTGGCTAAGAGTGAGCCCAGTGAAGTCAATTCTGGGTCTCGCCGTTTATGAACGGAGTGACTTGAGCAGACACTTAGACTCTGTTTCCTTCTCTCAGCACTAAGGGTAGGGTAATAAGGCCAACTTCACAGGCTCTAATGAGACTCAAGTGGAATAAAATATGTGTACCTTAAATATGGCCGGACCTCAGCCACCTGTGGGTCTAAAGGAGGTGGTGTGAATATGCTCACTGGTGAGCATTATCACCAAGGAAGTGTGTTGAGGGCTCACTTGAGATCATCTCTGTTACCCACCCCAGAAAGCAACTTCACCTTATGAGAAATCAGAGATAAGGGCCTATCCCTCATGCTGCCTCATACCAAAGCTCCAAGTGATTATGCCTGTACCCTACAGCTACTCAAAACCACCCCCATCTTTGGCTTGTAGCTGCTCAAAATGCTTCATCATCTTCTCGGGCCATAAGCCAGCTGAATAAGCCAGCTTGCTGTCTAATTCTCTCAAATCCCCCCTTCTCAAAGGCCTTCTTCTTCCACAATCTACCAACTCTAACTAAACTCAGGTCATTTCTAGGCACACCCTCTTGGAAGAGTCAACTACCCTAGATGTCAGTTTCAGCTCAACTGAGCCTAAGTTTCACCCATAAAGCAAACCCAGTACAGGGTATGTGGTGACTGCTTGGTGATGTCACAGAGACCCGGAACCTGCCCTTAGTAGAGTATACAACTTCTCTAATGGAGAACACAGTCTCACTCCTCTTTGTTGCTTCATGGTCTGTGAACTTAAAGGGGTGATGTCTGAAGTGTTTCACCAGGGTCACTACACAAATTGTGGTTCAAGGGAGCCAGATGACTTCCTAAGGTGATGACAGCAGAATCTGCAGCACCATGCCTGTGGTACCCTGGTTTTACAAGTATAGAAAATGCAAGAATCAGGGGTCATGAGGGTTTGTTCAGTGGTCCCCAAAAGCATTTGCATGAAGCTGTGAAAAGGACTGATTTGCAACAGAGGCCCTGCAATGTTGAGATGCCAGGGTCTTGGGACATTTCCCTGGACAGTTGCTTTTCAGCAGGAAACTTGCTCAATGACATTTTCAGTTTAGGCTTTTTTCCTCTCAAATAATCTTGGATTTTTCTCAAGATGAAGCTTTCAGTCTTACCCTCAGGGCACCTTCCCTATTGTTCCAGTGCATAGCAGGGAGGTTTCTCTTATGGATGCTATGCTATCATCAATAATTACAGCTACCCATCCTGTCTGTAACTCTCTCCTTTCCCTTCCAGTTCTCACTTTCTTCAAATATTTTTTCTCCATTTACTGTTCATTTGCTCGCTCTCGCTCTCGCCCTCTCTCTCGCTCTCTCTCTCTCTCTCTCTCTCTCTCTCTCTTTCTCTCTCTCTCCACCACACACTTGAATAAAAGTGGTGAGAAGTAGCCCTTGCCTAGGCCACAAACTCGTATCTTGAGATTTCTTCTGCCAAACAATGTAGCCCATAATTATAAATTGAGCTTCATTTGAGCTATCAGATCACAGGCAGAATATAGCCAAGTTCTTTGCCAGAAAAAAAAAATGGTTTTATCCCCTTTCCTGACAGAGTCCACATTACCCTATGAAAGCTCATGAGATGGGTCTCCCCTGATCATTTGATCATTCTGTTCTCTAAACTCACATAAGAATGGTCCCTTAAACTCAGCTCATAGCTTTTTAGGACTTTCCTAAGTTACACACTCAAATTAATCCTGGAAACCAGCTCAAAGGCCTACAGACCACATGATCATCCTTAATCCATCAACAACCCCACTCCTGGCACCAATTTTCTGTGTTAGTTTCTTTCTCATTTTAGGACAAAAATACCTAACAAAAGCAACTTAAGCCTGGCAGTGGTGGTTCACGCCTTTAACCCCAGCATTCGGGAAGCAGAGGCAGGTAGATCTCTGTGAGTTCCAGGCCAGCC